TAATTTACAGATTCAACGCTATTCCCATCAAGCTACCAATGACCTTCTTCACAGAACTGGAAAAAAACACCTTCAACTTCATATGGAACCAAAAGAGAGCCCGCATAGCCAAGTCAATTCTAAGCAAAAAGAACAAAGCGGGAGGCATCACACTACCGGACTTCAAACTATACTACAAGGCTACAGTAATCAAAACAGCATGGTACTGGTACCAAAACAGAGATATAGACCAATGGAACAGAACAGAGGCCTCACAGGAAATACAACATACCCACAACCATCTGATCTTCGACAAACCTGACAAAAACAAGCAATGGGGAAAGGACTCCCTGTTTAATAAATGGTGTTGGGAAAACTGGCTAGCCATGTGCAGAAAGCAGAAACAGGACCCCTTCCTGACACCTTACACCAAAATTAACTCCAGATGGATTAAAGACTTAAACATCAGACCTAATACCATAAAAACCTTAGAAGAAAATCTAGGCAAAACCATCCAGGACATAGGTGTAGGCAAGGACTTCATGACCAAAACGCCAAAAGCAATGGCAACAAAAGCCAAAATAGACAAATGGGACCTAATCAAACTCCACAGCTTCTGCACGGCAAAAGAAACAGTCAGTAGAGTGAATCGGCAACCAACAGAATGGGAAAAAATTTTTGCAGTCTACCCATCTGACAAGGGGCTGATATCCAGAATTTACAAAGAACTAAAGCAGATCTACAAGAAAAAAACAAACAAGCCCATTCAAAAATGGGCAAAGGATATGAACAGATACTTTACAAAAGAAGACATACAGGAGGCCAACAAACATATGAAAAAATGCTCATCATCACTGGTCATCAGAGAAATGCAAATCAAAACCACATTGAGATACCATCTCACACCAGTTAGAATGGCGATCATTAAAAAATCGGGAAACAACAGATGCTGGAGAGGATGTGGAGAAATAGGAACACTTTTACACTGTTGGTGGGAATGTAAATTAATTCAACCATTGTGGAAGACAGTGTGGCGATTCCTCAAGGACCTAAAAATAGAAATCCCATTTGACCCAGCAATCCCATTACTGGGTATATATCCAAAGGATTATAAATCATTCTACTACAAGGACACGTGCACACGAATGTTCATTGCAGCACTGTTTACAATAGCAAAGACCTGGAACCAACCCAAATGCCCAACGATGATAGACTGGATAGGGAAAATGTGGTACATATACACCATGGAATATTATGCAGCCATCAAAAACGATGAGTTCACGTCCTTTATAGGGACATGGATGAACCTGGAAACCATCATTCTCAGCAAACTGACACAAGAGCAGAAAATCAAACACCGTATATTCTCGCTCATAGGCGGGTGTTGAACAACGAGAACACATGGACACAGGGAGGGGAGCACTACACACTGGGGTCTGTTGGGGGGAAATGGGGGAGGGGCGGGGGGTGGGGAGGTGGGAAGAGATAGCATGGGGAGAAATGACAGATACAGGTGAGGGGACGGAAGGCAGCAAAGCACACTGCCATGTGTGTACCTATGCAACAATCTTGCATGTTCATCACATGTACCCCAAAACCTAAAATGCAATAAAAAAAAAAAAAAAAAAAAAAAAAATCCTACTATATAACCCAGCACTACACTAGAGAGTGCATATGAATATGTAGATAAGAGTCCCATGTACCTCAAGGAATTTACAGTGCACTGAAAGAAACAGTCATGCAAAAATAATGACATATTGTTCTATGGGCAAAAGGGACAGTGCATACTAGTAACAGAGAAGTTCCCAGTCCTCTGCCTGAGCTCTAGCCTTGCTACTCAATGTGTGGTCCCTTGAAGCAACAGCAGCAGCACCATATGGGTACTTGTAAAAAAGACACAGTTGGGGTCCCCAGTTGTTTCTACTGAACCTACTGAACCAAAATCCCTGGGAGTAAGGCTCAGGCATTGGTTATCCTGGTTGGTCTCATCTCCTGAAGCTTCCTGTGAATCCTGCTTTTCAATACCCAAGATTGCTAGCTCTGAAACATCTGCATAAAAGTATGCATTTTTCATGGTATGGCCCTGATGTCACTCCCTTTGTGGAGCTTCATGGCATCTATTCCCTCATAAAGTAGAATTTATCATCCCCTCTCTCTGTTCATGCCATTTGCAAAGCGTTTATCACCTTGTTTAATTTGGTTCTATGTTCTCAGTTTGGTTCTATGAATGTTTATTGAGCTCTATCAGATACTATGGAAAAGTCTAAGAAACAAAGGAAAAAATAATTTCTTGTCAAAGGGCCTTGCAGTCTGTTGTGGCTAATTATACATATAACTATTCTTTCTTGCTTTTATTTGAATAATTTGGATGTTGAATACAAATGTTCCAGTGTTCACTTTAGTATTGAACGATTGTTTTTTTCAACTGGTGAATAGTGACATTAAAAATAAATGGGGCAGGCCAGGTGTAGTGGCTCATGCTTGTAGTCCCAGCCCTTTGGGAAGCTGAGGCAGGTAGATCATGAGATCAGAAGTTCAAGACCAGCCTGACCAAGATGATGAAACCCTGTCTCTACTGAAAAAAAAAATACAAAAATTATCTGGGTGTGGTGGTGCATGCCTGTAATCCCAGCTACCTGGGAGGCTGAGGCAGAAAATTGTTTGAACCTGGGAGGTGAGATTGCAGTGAGCTGAGATTGTGCCACTGCACTCCAGCCTGGGTGACAGAGTGAGACTTCATCTTAAAAAAAAAAAAAGAAAGAAAAGAAATGGGGCAACCATAATTAAATAACCTTGGGCTAACAATTAATATTCACTGTGCACACATGTTGGTTGATATGGTTTGGCTCTGCGTTCTCACCAAAATCTCATATTAAATTGTATTCCCATAATTCCTACATGTTGTCAGAGGGTCCTGGTGGGAAATAATTTGAAGAAGGGGGGCAGTTTTCCCCATACTAGTCTCATGGTAGAGAATAAGTCTCATGAGATCTGATAGTTTTATCAGGAGTTTCTGCTTTTGCAAATTCCTCATTTTCTCGCCACCATGTAAGAAGTGCCTTTTGCCTCTCACCATGATTCTGAGGCCTCCCCAGCCATGTGTAACTGTAAGTTGAATTACACCTCTTTTTCTTCCCAGTCTTGGGTATGTCTTTATCAGCAGCATGAAAATGGACTAATACATTGGTGCCCTCTAGAATCCATTTCTAATTCCCTCTTCCTGGCAGCTTCTAGTTTCTGTCTGTGCATCCTCCAGTTCAGAAGAAGCCCTAGGGGTACAGCATGTGCCCTAAACAGAGAGAATATCAGGACTTTTGTTGGATGTTGGTGGCAGTGATAGATATAGGAGAAGCATAGTGCCAAGAGAGCCCCAAGCACCTATTGGAGATGACAAGGAGAAAGCCTGTGGAAAATGGAAGTCTAGAAGTCAAATCTGAGAAATCAAAATAGAAAAATTGTTTACATTATTTGTGAATCAAACTTCATCTGAATTTTTTTCCATCACGTTAGCTATAAATTCCTTTCACTGATGAAACTATTCTGGTTTGGGTGTTCTATTACTGATAATCATAAGCATCCTAATTGTTACAGTCTTCTACTTGAATCCAAAGAATGACAACTTATTTGCTATCTAGAGAATGAGTATTTGCTCTCACTATAGGCTGATTAATTCACAAATAGGATTAAGTGTAGGTCTTTTCTTGGTCTTACCTGAGAAACTACAGTTCCTAGGACTGCACGGCCACATTAAACTTTCTTTAACACCCCACTACAATAACTGCAGATTTGCGCATTTGTTGCTTATTTATTTATTTATTTATTTATAGTATAAAGTCTTACTCTGTCACCCAGGCTGGAGTGCAGTAGCTCAATCTCAGCTCACTGCAACTTCTGCTGCCTGGATTCAAGCAATGCTCCTTCCTCAGCCTCCCAAAGAGCTGGGATTACAGGCTCCTGCCACCATGCCTGGCTAATTTTTGTATTTTTAGTAGAGGCGGGGTTTCACCATCTTGGCCAGGCTGGTCTTAAACTCCTGACCTCGTGACCCACCCACATGGACCTCCCAAAGAGCTGGGATTACAGGCGTGAGCCACCACACCCAGCATATTTGTTGCTTTTCCTTACTGTATCTGTATGATGATGATGATGATGATGATTATTATTATTATTTTTTTTTTTTGAGGCAGGGTCTCACTCTGTCACCCAGACTGGAGTGCAATGACATGATCATGGCTCACTGCAGCCTCAATTTCCCTGGCTCAGGTGATTCTCCCACCTTGGCCTCTTGAGTAGCTGGGACTACAGGTGCACTCCACCATGCCCTGCTAATTTTTATAATTTTTTGTACAGACAGAGTTTCACCGTGTTGCCCAGACTGGCCTCAAAGTAGTGGCCTCAAGTGATCCATCCACCTCAGATTCCCAAAGTGTTGAAATTACAGGCATGAACCACCATGTCCAGCATGTGATGGTTAATTTTATGTGTTAACTTGACTGGATCATGGGGCACCCAGATATCTGAGTAAACATTATGTCTGGGTGTGCCTGTGAGAGTGATTTCAGAAGAGATTAGCATTTCAGTGGGTAGACTGAATGAAGCAGACTGCCCCTGCAATATGGATAGGCCTCATCCAATTAACTGAGGGCCTGAATAGAACAAATAGGTGAAGGAAGGGAGAATTTGCTTTCTCTGCCTGATTTTGTGAGCTGGAACATTGGTCTTCTCCTGTCCTCAGACTGTAACTTATGTTATCAGCTCTCCAGTTCTCAGGCTTTCAGACTTGAACTGAAACTGCCACTGGTTTTCCCTGGCATCTTGCTTATACATGACAGATAGGACTTCTTAGCTGCCATAATTTCATGAGCCTATTTCTCATTATACCAATATAGTAAGTAGAGGAGGGTTTTCACTTTAAAATTGACATGTTTAGATGTTGGAGACAGGACTAAGTGAATATGCTGTTCACACACACACACACAAACATGCTTAGTTGTGTGTACCACGACATATACAATTTTTACCTCCAGTTGTTCTTTCTTTGCTGCTACATGCAGAAGCTGTAGTAGATGGTACTGTTCTGGCTGTTCCAAATGAGACATTAAGGCCAAGAGTTCTGTCAGGTGTCTATTAATTGGCTGAGGCTGCTTTTCATACACAGCAGGTAACACTCTCAACAACATGGTGTTACCTGTTCAGGGAACAATAAGGGGAATGATGACTTTATCAGGCCATAAGCAACAGAAATAACATTATTACCAGTGCAGTAACATTTACACTTGCACATTAAATAGCACAGACTAATGGCCAAATCTTCTGCTAAAAATAACATGGTACCTTATTCTGAGATTAAAATGTGATTTAATCTGATTCTATAAAAGGAAATATTTTATGATATGATCAGTACCATTAACTAATAAAAAATTTTCCTGAGTAATGCACCATGGGGATAGAGGAACTTTGACAGTAATCAGACCGCACCCTTGAGAAGGAAACAGTTCTGCTAAAAAATTCCTGATAAGAAGCAAAATTTGTATAATGTTTAAATGAAAACTAAGCAGTGCTATAATCATGGACCTAGATGAAACTGAACTACAAGAAGAGTGAAGAGGAATAAATTCACATTCCTGAAAGATACAGAAGCATAATTTAGACAACTCACATACAGAAACTATTCCTTATTTTTGGTATAAGAAGTAGTAATGCAAATTCAAATCCCCAATTTCTGCACTATTTCAAGGGAAGTTTAGCCTCAGCTGGTTTGTCACACATGAGTTCCTTAAAGGTATGTATAGACAACTAGATTTAAAATGACAAAACCTCAAGAAAAACACTACATGAACTATGGGAACTTATCAGCAAACAACATATGCGCAACATCTACTTATCACTTGATGGTATGGATTTTCTTTCTCTCAAAATCCTCTCAAGTAGTTCAATGTCTCAGGGGAGTTGGTTTCTAGGGATTTTTTGAACAAGAATTTTCTTGACTCTCTTTACTTTTTCTTTAAATGTGGCTTTGAATGTAGAAGCCATACACAGAAAAAATCAAATAAATAGGAATTACAGATATACAGACCTTCATTAAATGGTAGGAACATGCCTATAAATAAAAGAATTTAGATATGATCATTAAAGAAAGAAGGCCAGAATTTTCAGAATATCAATATCTAAATTTAATGAAAGCATGATTCTAATAAAACTGAATGAATTTGGGAGACAATAAAAAAATGAGGATTTTTTTTTCCACATATGGTTCATAGAATAAGTCTAAAACAGGTTTTATCATGTGCCCCAGAATACAAGTGGTTGGAAATATTTAGAGTTTTCTTTAAAAAGGTTGTGTTCATCAGTATTTATTTTCAATAATATAATTTTCAACAATTTGTGTTGTTTTCTCCTTATTTTACTATGAGCGTCTTCTTAAAAGATCAGGAATTTTTAATGCAATACCCAATTTGTACAGCCCACATTAGATCATAGAATGTAGTTACAAGAAATACTGATGGTCACATTAAAAGGAAATGTAGTTGCAATCTAAGACAGGAAACTGGTGTGTGGCATTTTGTTACAAACTCACTAAAGGCCTCGGGAGCCTTGAAGGGGAAAACCCCAGATTAGTCATTTTTCAGCTGACTTGAATTTCAATCAAATAATACAAAAACAAATGCAGAACTTTTGCAGAAATCTTACAAATTCCATTAGTAAATAATACATTCTTTTAAATTATGAAATAGTTAAGTCATCAAACAAATGTAGGCAATAATATAAGAAGCACTGGTGCACCTACCAACCAGATTTGTCAAAACTTAACCTTACGTCATAATCACTTTTCATCCCATTTGTTTCCTCTTCTCCCCAGAAGCAACCATCATCCTAAAGGTAGTATTTATGATCTCCGTACATATTTTTACACTTTAATTACATGTGTATGTAGCAATAAACATTTTATAGTGTTGTTTTGGATGCTTTAAAATTGTGTATGAATAACATCATACTGCACATATCCCTGTGCAACATTTTTTTCCTATTCAACCATATGTTGAAGTTAAACCTCCAAGAAGCTCTTCTTCATTTATTCTTACAGCTATGTGTTATTCCAGTGTATAAATATGCAACAACTTATTCATACACTTCTGACTTGCAACACTTCTTTCATATATTAGGTTTTCCATATGTGTGTGGGTCTGTGTCTGTGCATTTATCCATCTGTTTATCAAGTCTACATTTTCTTAATTACAGTAATTTTTATAATAAATCATTGTATCTCATAGGGCATATTTCCTCACCTCCTACTTCTTCAAACTCTTCTTGGCTACTGTATACAAACTTTAGTATCAGTCTGTCAACAGCCTTGAAAAACCAGACTGGAATTATTTTTTCATATTGAACATATAGACTAATTTGGCATAACTGACATTTTTGTGAAACTGAGTCTTCTAATTTCAGGAGATAACTTATCTTTCCATATGTAGATCTTTTTATGCTTTTAAATAAGGTGTTATAATTATCTGTGTCTTAGGTGTCTTTTGTTAAATTGTTGCTTGGATATCTCATAGCTATTCTTGCTAATGTAAATGAAAACTTTTTTATTTTCAAAGGCATTTTCAATTTATCTACTGGTATTAAGAAAGCATAGATTTTTGTATGTTGATCTTATATCCAACAAAATTTGCTCAGTTCTTATTAATAATGTCTTCTGAGTCTCTTGGATTTTCTGTATGTGGATGATCCACTCACGATAAATAATAACAACTTTGTTTCTTTCCATCCTAATCCTCACGTTCCTTCTCCTTATGTCCTTATGTACTGCTTTACAGGCAGGGACTTCCAATACACATTTTGATAATAGAGTCACTGTCCATGGATATCCTTGTGTTATTTCTGTTTTTAAAAAGTATGTTTCCAAGGATTTACAATTACATGTGTATCTGTTTCTATTCGTTTGGGTATTTATGCTTTTTCAGTTGAAGTAGGTTCCTGTCTGCTTTCTAGTTTGATTATTTTGAGTGTTGAATTTTATCGAACAGTTTTCTCATCTGTTGATGATTCTTCTCCTTTAAACTGTTAATGTAATAAATTAATAGCTATTCCAACATTTAATCAATCTTGCAGTCTTGGAATAAACTCAACTTGGTTATAATATATTTTTATGCACACTGCTTTGTATAATGTGTATTTTTATTCATATTGCTGTGTTTGTTTGACTAAGTCTTTATTTAGAGCTTTTGCATCTACATTCTTGATGAGACAGGTTGCAGTTCTTTCTTGTACTGTCCTTGTCTCTTTTTGGTATCATACTTAGCAGACATGTAAAACGAATTTAGCACATTCCTGCACACTCCATTTTCAGAAGCGGTTTGTATAAGATGGGGATTATGTGTTCCTTGAATGTTTGGTAGAACTCGCCCATCAAACCTTCTGGGCAGTACTCTCTATATTTTATTATATCAAACTTAAATTATGTAGTTGAAGTTTCTGTATCCTTTGACAGACTTTTTTTGGCATTTGAATGATCAGTTATGACATAGGTGAACTTATCAGTTATGTTAAAATCTCCCTCCATGATTATGGATTTGTCCATTTCTCCTTATAATTCTGTCAATCTTTGGTACATATTTTTTGAAACTATGTTACTAGATAATTCAAAGATATCTTCCTATTAGAGTATTTCTTTGTATCATAGTGAACTATCCTATTTTGACTAAGTCTATTTTTTGCTGATAGTACTATTGCTATGCTAGCTTTTTGGAATAGCACTTGCTTGGTATGTTCTCTTCCTCCCCTAGAATTCAAAGTTTTTAACTTTTAATATTTCTACTTTCTTATGTTTTATGTATTGTTTTTGTAAGTGATGCATAGCTGGATTTTTAAAATACTTCTTTTTCTTTTTTTCTTTCTTTTCCTTTTCTTTTTCGTGTGTGTGTGTGTGTGTGACAGGGTCTCATTCTGTCATTCAGGCTGGAATGCGGTGGTGTGATCATAGCTCACTGCAGTCTCAACCTCCCAGCCTCAAGTGATCCTCCGGCCTCAGCCTCCTGAGTAGCTGAGATTACAGGTGCACACCACCACACCAGGCTAATTTAAAAATTTTTTGTACAGATGGGGGTCTTGCTATGTTGATCAGGCTTGTCTCAAACTACTGGCCTCAAGTGATGCTCCCACTTTGGCCTCCCAGAGTACTGGGATTCTGAATGTGAGCCTAGCCTAAAATATTTCTATATGACAAATAGAAATATTTGTCTCTTAACTGGAAAATGTTTTTCATCAACATTTATGGTAATTATTGGTATATTCTTATTTATTTTTAAGACATAATATTGTACCTTTTACTTACCTTCTCTGTGCTATTCTTTCCTCCTTCACTGATTTCTTTTTAGACAGACTCTTGCTTTGTCACCCAGGCTGGAGTGCAGTGGTGCAAACTCTGCTCACTGCAACTTCCACCTCCTGGATTCAAGTAATTCTGCCTCAGCTTCCCGAGTAGCTGGGACTATAGGCATGTGCCACCACGCCTGGCTAATTTTTTGTATTTTCAGTAGAGATGGGGTTTCACTGTGTTAGCTAGGATGGTCTTGATCTCCTGACCTCGTGATCCACCTGCCTTGGCCTCCCAAAGTGCTGGGATTACAGGCATGAGCCACCATGCCCATCCCTACTTTTTTTTTTTTTTAATAGATCAAGTCTTTCTTTAAACATTCCCCCTGCTCCTTCAATTTGGATGTCTATGTCCTTTTGGTAGTTGTCCTTGAAATTGTAACAAAGGTTTTTGAGCAAAGCAAAATTAATAAATTTCTTTATCGTCCCTGAACAATGAAAGGATTTTAGAATATTTTACTGAACATAAAACCATACATTTTAGATTATTTCCTTATATCTGTCCTCTAGTTCATTAATGTTCTTCTCAGCTTTGCCTAATTTGCCACTTAATGCATGCCTCGAGCTTTCAAAATTTTTAATTGCCTTTTTTTTTTAATTCTAGAAGTTATATTTGGTTCTTTAAAAAATCACCTTGCCTTTTTCGTTTTGACAATGTCTTATTCTTTTCTCATATTTTCAATTCCTTCCTTTAGAGCTTAAATAATTTTAAACATATTTATTTTCAGGCCTTTGGCTGCTATTTCAAATGAAATTCTTGGGGAGGTGTGTCTAATCCTTTTTGGTTTCTGCTCATTTTCCTTTATAGTGGTT